CCCCCGGTACCCACCGCAGACCGTGACAGAGAATTCAGGTACCCATCACAGACCGTGACAGAGAAACTGTAGTTGTAAAGCATCAGATTAACGGTTAGCTACAAATGTATCGCATCGTAATGGAAGAAAAGGATTTCCATTTAATTAGTAATAATAGAGCCATCGTGTTTCACATTTTTAATCCCGCAAGGGATTGCGCTAACAGCTTTTTTTTCTTTATGTTCCACATATTATGAAGTAGAAACGACATTAAAAAAACGAAATTCCAACTTTTTCTACCGTATCTTTTTCTTAGTCATTCTTTTGATTATTTTTTTATCGTTTTTGTGAAAGCAACTCGATTTTCTTCTACGAAAGAGTAAATAAAAGAGAGGTGGTAGAGAGAAAGATATGATTAATCAATTATTTCAATGTTCCTCTCTATCAAATTTTAATTTCATTGAATCTCACTATTATGTCTATTTATGTTTGAGTTTAATTTCAAAGAGTAGCTTATACATTCTTGTAAAATTTCCAGTTTCCTGTATATTTAATGAGTTTCCATCGAATGCCAGAACTTGCTACTTCCATAGAATATTAGACACATAGAAAAGATCAATATTTATGAAAATCAAATATTTCTGTACAGGTGAAATGTCTCAACATCAGTCATGAAAAACTATGTAACACCATTACGTTTGTTTTTCTGTATTTTCTGTCTAGGAAAAATTAGGTTTTATAAAATTTTATCTTACTACTCCAAAGTCCTTTCAATGCCCTAGAAAATCGGTTATAGCAACATTTCGTTGGGAGAAATACTTTAGAGAGAAATTGGCATTTTATAAATGGTAGAAACCTCCTAGAAATTCGAGACTTCAATCAGAAAACCTTATTCTTATTGCATCAATAGAATGTGATAAACTGCATCAAATGATGCTTTGAATGGGCTTTGTAGTTCTCACACTTTTCGATGTAATTGAAAAGTATGTCAAAAACTTAACAGTATTATACTTAGACAAGTTGTATTGATCATGCCATTTAGTAAACAATCATTAACAGGTTACAGAGAGAATTGACTTGAGTTTTTTATTTGATGATTATTCGATGATGATACATATATATTATTGAAAGCTCGAAATAAATGTTATGATTTTGCACGAAAATCACTACATTCTGCATAGCTATTCTATAATCCTTGGTTTCTTAAAAATTTCCGATTTATACACTCTACAGAACTGATCGTTTTGATACAATCAGATTTTGAAAAATGTTACGGCATCTAGGCATTCAAATCGTCAATTTTCTAAACGAATGGTTTGATCATGTTCTTGAACTTAAAGTATATTTTGTCATTATTCATAGTAATAGTAAGGATGTTGTAGTATTCAAATGATCAGCTTTTCATGTTTCTATATAGTATTTTCCTGTAGCTTAAAAAATGCCGAATACTTTTCAAGACTCCATCTAGTTTATCATTTTGATGGAAAACGATAATAATAAATTCTCAAGCTGTTCTGACCTGTTACAATGTATGTCTTTCTTATACATCTACAATCATTCCATCTAAATCTAATAAATTCTACTGTGTAGTTTACTTCGTTTAATACGTTGAAACGTATACAAAATAATTCGAACACTTCGATCGGCACATTCTTATCTTATACATCCTTATCTTAGGGTATGACTGTGAGTGTAGATCAAAAACTATATCTACACCCACTCTCTCTTCATAAATGTACTTTTCTTCTTGAGCATTATGAGAGTGTGAGTCTGGGTCGTTATAAAAGAGTAGAAGATTGATACCGGCACCTAGAGCCCATGCTCACGCTTGCAGTCATAAAATCTAGTTTAAATTTTTATAACTTTCTATTCATACTGCATTCAAGATTTTATGTTCAGAGTAAAAAACTAGAGGAATTTATAATCAACATCTATTATGTTATATGAGATATTCTTGTTTGAACTTTATGACGGAAATGAAATATTTTTCAGCGTTTTTTGAAGGTTTGTTTTTTCTATTTTTGAGTTAATCAGAAAACAGGATGATTGATGAGTCTTTGCGAAAGTATAGGAAAGTTGGCTGATTTCAATAAAGTAAGTGACATTTTATGAACTTTGCGAAGTAGAGATAATTATTTGAAATGAAATGAAAATTTGAAGCTAAGGACTTTTTTTTACTGGACTATGATTAGTATAACATTGTTCTATCGAAATTAAAGATCTTGTAGGAAAAGTCAATCGATGTTAGATAAGAATCAGAAATGATCGACACGAATAACTGTTGCTGTATTAGTTTTCACCAAGATGTTCAAGAAAGTATGAAGGACCTTGAAAATAAGATTTTTTATGATTTCGAGTGTTATTCATACGTCTACTAACGAAAATAATTTCTTTCACACAATAATTTCAGTTAGCTGATAGAGTTAAATACTATTAAAATGTATTCATTCCAGCTAACGTTTTTTCGAAGCTTAAAACCGATGATTTTATCACACAGCATATTGTATCCAATGCTTTTCAGTTTGGGCTGTTGCTTATTTTATCAAAAGAAAAACTTAGATATTTATTTTGTATTTTTTCTATTATTATGAGTAATATGAAGTCTAGTTTTTGCAGGTCTTTTGATAATGAATAACTTCTCTTAATTATCAAACTCACACATTATTTCTTCAAAATAATATCTCAGTATGTAGAGACTTGTGAGTGGCAAAAATCTATCTGATACATTGATCTCTCAATATGAAGAACAATTCAGTGCACTAATTTCTTGAGCATCTTGAAACAGAAAAATCGTCTTACTTGTAGTTGTAGTTGTAGTTGTAGTTGTAGTTGTAGTTGTAGTTGTAGTTGTAGTTGTAGTTGTAGTTGTAGTTGTAGTTGTAGTTGTGGTTGTAGTTGTATCACCATTTGGGACGCAGACATGACTCAAAATAATCTCGGTAACAGAATTATCCGTTACGTTTGCCTGACAGTTGTAGAGAGTATCGGCTGTTGGTGTATACAGATAAGAATCTTTACTTGGTGGATTATACGTTGCACTAACGGCTTGTGCAATTGCGAAGTAGCAAGTGATAGATATGAATTTTGCTGTATTGCCCTTGAGGACAAAATGCCAACCATAAGTGTAGTTATTGGGAGATGGTGGGCAAGTTTCATTGGATGATAATGGACTTGTTGTATTCTGGTGAGCCGGCTTGAGGTAAATAACATAGTCTGAAAAAGCGAGTAACATTATAATCGAAATGTTCTGTAATAATTGAAGTATTTTCAAAAGTAAGACTTCAAACAACTACCATTAGACTCCTTGTTGGAGCATACATGTTTATCTCACTGTTCTTCAGTTTAGATGAATTAGCTTTTAGAAATATCAGAGAATATTCCACTTGATTTCCCTGTAATCATACATTCAACTTCTTGTTTCTTCTGAACCTTATACTACATATATATATATACTGTTATCACTATCAGTACAATCATTATATATCAGCAAAAATAGTGACATTATCTCGAGGATAGTATGCTTTCTTTCAATGTAGTCTATTCAATCTTGGCCTTACTATTGTTTTTCATTTATGATCATTAAAGCTGTTGTGGAAAAGCTATAGTGAAACTTTCAGCCCAATATCATGACGTTTAAAGAAGACCTTAGCCAAACAAGGGTAAAAAATAATGAATTTGTCAAACTAAATTTCTTAGTTCAATCCCATGTGATGTGTTTAAATTGTTTTTGTTTGAAAGAGCATATCAGGATACAGGGCAATAGAGACTTTTTTTTTTAAATTCTTAAATTTTAAGTGAAAAAAAGGTACCACAAGTTGAACGACTTAAAAACCCATTAAAAAAAGTAGTGGTTTTTCAATAGAAATGCTTCCTGATATTATTATTGAAAAAGTTTATTTTAAAAAAGACTCTATGGTATTCTGCATCTTGACGTGTTCTTTTCAACAAAAATCATTTACATACATCATAAGGACCCAAATTGAGCAATTTGGGTTGCGCGTTTGACATATCATAAACTGAGAAAAAATGAAAAACATTTTTGCACAGTGATTTTTTTAATATGTTAGCATTTTTAAAAATAAAGCTTTATCTCTTGTCTGTTAGTTAGCTGATTTCTTATTTTTTGTTGTATAAACTTTGTTTTTTCTATAACGATTGATAAAACGTGCTAAAACATCTGTACATTCTATTAAAGTGTTTATTTTCCATGTAAAACCCTCAAAATCTATTTCTTTTCCAGGAGAAATCGTGTGTTTCAAGCAGCTGATTACGGAAATCATCAAGATTTTTAGTCAAAAAAAAAGATATGTTGGATAAAAAATCATATCATTTGTGAAAGATCTGAAGACGAGCTATCTTTCCATGAATTTATCTCAATTTCGCAGTTTTCGAAGAAAACTGACTTTTTTTTAAGAGGAAGATAAAATTCTAGGGGAGAATAATATCATTGCATTAATTTGGACAACTGTTGTCATAGACTAAAAAAGAGAGATAAATCACCAAGGAAGATAACAGAGATGAATGATGAATCAAGTCGTATGAAAGAAAACTTATCTAATGTGTAGATCTCCTTACAGGAAGTCATCTCTACGATTGATAGTCAATGATTTGAACAGGAGATGCATTGGAACAATTTCAGACTTGTTCGAAAAATGTTCTATTTATTATGATCTGAATGTCTTCTGAACTACTAGTCTTACGATTGAGCTGTTTAAAAAAAATAACTATGAGGCTTCATGACATGCAAAAAAAAATATTCGAACACTCAGAAAAAAAGTTAATGGTTAATAACTATTGAGACAGAATGATAATCTATTCTATACAAAATATACTGTGACAACATATTAAATGATTCACATGCCGATTTAGATAACAAGAGTTAGCTTTGATGCTCCTATTATACATACAATAGATAAAGTGAAACTCGTGTATAAACAACTACAACTCTAAACTAAGTGAAACATCGTTAAGATTGCTTAATACAATATATTTATCAATAAAGTCTTCGTTCATTCAATCCCGTATGAAAAAAGATATGTAAAATAAAGAAGTAATTATTGGCTTAAAGACCTTATAACGCATGCTTTCATTAATATTTAAAAATTACTTAATTGGTTATCGTCAAGCATAAGACATTTCAAATATTGAGAAGCACTCTTTTTGAGACAGAAAATGAATGAATCTAGTAATATTATTGGATATTTTCGATTGAGTTGTTTTCAAAACTTATTAAAAGATGATGATTATTGTAGTCTGGATGATAGATAACATGTTTCTTGATAACTTAATACTTTTGAACGGCATAGTGCAAGAATGGGTTTGGAACAATCAAAATTCTTTTAAGCAAACTCATTACTTCTGACTGTCTTCAATGAAATTTTTCTACGAAAGACTACATTGATGCACTTTTCTGGTCATTATTTTTTTTAACATATATTTCTGTTACTGCAAAGGTAGATTTCCTGATATGTCTATTTGTCTATACTAGTTTTGTTCTTTTTGCAAAAATCACTAAATATACAATAGGGTTTACGGTTAAGCTGAAAGAAAAGGTTGGCAAAAACTGTAGTCATACCAGCATTAACATTTTTCACCGATACGCAGATCAATAATAGTGCAGTTGTGAGCAGAAGACCATCAAAACGTACACCAGTGAATATTCTGCATCCCGACAACATCGATTTACCATACATTTCTCTGAAATAAAAGCATAGAAAAGATGCATCATTCATTTCTAGGTATAAGAAAGCTAAAACGGTATTCAGATTAAGTTGATGAGACAAACTCCGGAAATGAGAAATAGCTTTTCTATTACAATTCTAATCATTTTATTATTCATATCAATTATCAGTAGCTTATATTCACTTAAAATATAAATAATGATGGTTCTATTTACTTTTAAATACAAAGCACTTTTCATAGTTTTCGTGCTGTCAATTTATCTTTATTTCTACTCTAATTTATGCGTAAATCAAAATTTTTAGTATTTGAAATTTAACACGAATATACAGTGATTTTCTTTTTGTAAAATGTACATTTAAAAATAAATGTAAATTATTAGCATTTATATTTATTTTAAGTATAAGTTAGCACTACCTATATGTAAAATAACTATAAATAATCAAAATTATTTAAAAAAATTAAACTTCTATTTGTTCCAATTTTAAGTTATCACTAAATTATTTTACATATAAAATAAATTGTAAGTGAACATAGACTGTAATGCCTTAAATTATGGAAAAAATTTATATTTAACAATAAATTATAAATTACAATTGTTTATATTTTTAATAAATATAAATGATTGTCCATTATATATATTACTAAATAAAAAGTCTATTGAAAAAATAATTTATATTTCTTTTAATTTACAGGTACTAATAATCTACCATTTTTTTCATTTAATTAAAATTGGATTCGTTACTGTATTAAAAACAAAAAACATTATTTTGATTTTAATCGTTTTTGATCTATTTGAATTAAAATAAAAAATTTAATAATCAGTTTTGATGAATTAAATTTTGATAATCGATTGGAATAGATTAAAAGAGATAGACGAGAAAAAAATTATTTTTGAAAATAAATACGAACTATCATTATTTAGATTTATTTTCAATATGAGTAAAAATCAATGATATATTTTTAAATTTGAATTATTTTAAAAAATTTTATCTTTTTGAAATATGAACAATCATCATTAATATCTGCTTTTAAGTATAGATTTTTTCCGAATAATAAAATGTACAACTAAAACGTACTTTGAATTTCATTTATGAATAAATAAAATTGTTAGTTACATGGATTTAATATATATATATATATATTACTATTCTTTGTAGTTTATATTCAAAACTAAATATATATAATCATTCATATTTGTTGAAAATATAAACGATGAGAATTTATATTTACTATCACATTTGAATTTTTTTCATAAACTCAGGGATATTAGTTTATATTACTTTGTATTTAAAAGCAAATATATCGAGGAAAATGTAAAAATAGCGATGCAGATATTTTGTTTCTCGATTCCTCTCTAACTAATATCATAATATTAATTATATGTCAACAAGGATTGGTTTCGTGTACAACTTGACTAAAACATTACATAATATTATCATCCATATATATTCTAATTTTTTTCTTTGTTCGTTTCTTTTGGTTTTTTTACCTTTTTCTCTCTCGACTGTGCTATGGCTTTGTCGTCAAAACACGTTAGCGTGTACAAAACAAACGATAGTAGAAGAGGTAAAAATACAGAAAAAAAGTTCAAGAAGCTTTTATCTTATCGAATGTTTAAAATAATCACTGTGGCCATTCACAAACAATTGCATTCGTTGGATCCATTCATCGAATGATTTGTTTATGAATAGTTTAAAAGTGTAACTTAACGTGTTCTTTTTTTTAAATCTATTTAGAAAACAAAAAAAAGCAAGTGTCTCAACATGTGTCTATGAACGACTAGGTGATGAAAAAAAAGAACACGACAAAAATAGTGAAAGCAAAGAGAACAGAAGAACAAAGACAAAAATCAAAAAGAGAATACACATGGATGATACGATAACCTAATGTTGTAAATTATTTCAACGCAAAAAAGTTCTTATGAAACTCTTATTATTATGATATTGGTTGAAGACTAATCGAAAACAAGAGAATTTCTCAAAGTTTTTGTATGCAGATGCAGAATACCTCTACCATTCGTCTTGAAGAACTCTTCCAAGTAGCTCACTGTATACATCTTTTGTCCTTCCAAAAAGAAGAGATGATCAAAATGCATACCTTTTCTGATTGTATTGGTTGTAAATCTTCACTAATCACGATGGAAGTAATTATTTGATATATTGAGGTTGTTAATGTGTGAGATACTAAAGCAACACCATAGCTTTATATACATCCCAAAATCTGCTTGATCCGTGTGCACTGATCCGTATACGTAAAGACACTGCAGATGAAGGTGGAAAGAATTACGATGATTTTTTATCACCTACACTTTTTTTCTCTAGAATATTTTACTCCAATCAAGCTTTTTTCCAACCAATACCTACTATTCTTTTGCTTGTTCTCTACTCCGTCGTTCGAATGGCTTTATAGATGTGCATACAGAAAAAGAAAACATCACCATCAAATTATTAACCATCTTATGACCCGAACCTAATGGATTATTAATCATCACACTCACAAAAATATCATTCGGAATTTCATGACTTAACGAAAATTTAAAAAAATAATCCC